TTTTTGGCAAGCTCATCCCAACGTAGCCATATTCAAGTGTGAAATTAGTAGGATAGTATGCAGATCTGGAAAGGAAAAAATCACCATTAGAATTGATGTTTCCTTTGTTTCCAAACAGGGATGTTTCTAATTTGTGTATTTTTTATTATGAGAAGAACAACTTGCTATTGTAAAATGAGAGATGATTAACAATTCAAAGGCTTTTGTTTGTGTCTAACATGTATTAAGCAGCTGCTTTATCAGTTGTTTCAATTAAGATACAGTTGAAAATTCCATTTAAATCTCTCAAACTGGAAGCTTCAAAGATGTGTAACTTGATTTTTTGTCTGGCTTACATTAACATAACTCCACTGACTTTGGAGTTTTTGTGCTGATTTTCATCAGTATAAGCTAATGGAGACTCTGGATTTCTTTCCCCAGAAAAACTGGGGAAACTTCTAATAGAATGGAAATTATGAGCAGCATGGATTTTCAGGCAATCAAGTTATTTTAATTATCTCATTAAATGTATCATTTACAACATATATGCTAAAAGATATATGCTCCCCTGGGTTAGAAGCACTGGGTACACAATGTTTGAACATGTTGGACTTCCACTAGAATTTATGACAGAACTGTAGAATCTGAGAGGGGTGAAAAATCCCCCTTTTCTTGTGCCAGCATTTTTAAAGACAGAAAACTTTTTGTCATATTTCATGCAAAACAGAAAAAGTTGTTATGGAAACTCAAACAGAACAGTACTGCATCTCAGCTGATTGAAGTTGCTGTTGAACAATATTAGATTGTCTGTTATCTGTGATGTGAATTAAGATGGATATTTCTTCAGTGAGATATAACTAGTTTCATACAGGGACAGCAATCTTTCTAAGACCATTATTCACCATGTGTTGACTTTCATCTGTAGCTTTGAGAGATTGGAAAATAATGGTTGTTGGAAAAACAAACAAAAACAGTTTCTATAACAGAAGCTCATCACACTGCTTCTTCTGTTTCGTTACTTGCTATAAACCCATGAATCTTGATAAAAACACCAATTTGCTGATAATGCAGGAAGGGCTGATGAAAACAATGGGGTGCACTGTTTTTTTCTCTCAGGGTATCCAACTTTGAAACTGTAGGTATATTGAGAGTGTACAACCTGAAGCATTGGTTTTACGTGTTTTTCCAGTTTTTGAAACCATGTCTTTGCCAGGTATATGCAGCATCCTTCTCAGAGGGATGAGCTGCCCTGAACCAGGTGGCCAAGCAGGCAACAGGCCTGGATCGCAGAGCTCAAGCTATTGGTTTGTACTTCCTATTGCAATATTGTTCCTGTAATCATTTTCTGTCTGGGTATGTGTTGTACAGATCAGGTCTTCCTAATGAGGATTCCTTGTTTAGAATGGTGACTAAGGTAAACAGAGTTATAAATCAGACCTTACGGTTTCTGTTGGAATGCTGATGATCTCAGAGGGAGCACTTGGGTTTTCAAAACAAATCTGAACTAATGCCCAGGGCTGAAAATGCTGTTAAAATCATGAAAATTCAGGTTTAAGGCCTTTTTTTAAAATGTAAACTCTTGAAAGGCAGTCCTCAACCAAGGAACTGCTGAAATATGAGGACTTGCCAAAGAAACTCTTGCCGTGTCTGGCCAGACCTCTGCTGTGACACTACAGTATTTCCAGCACTGTTGGTGTTGGTAGTAACATGAAAGCACATAATTTGGCCCATAGTGGTTTGGAAGTGTTGTCTGCCTGGATAACTACGATAGCTACACAAGACAGTCAGTGCATGCATAGCCCTTCTGATAGAGTAAGAATGACTCTTGGTCTCTAGGACAGTGTAGGATAGTGAGCTCCCTGAACATCACCACCCTCACATATTATGAATAAGTGAGTAAGTCAAAATGCATCGTGCATTTAATAGAGATTCTTCTCTCCACATTCATTCCACTGGGCAAGCAGAGAGGTGTGTTTTCCAAAGCCTCTTAGAGCTGAAGAAGCAGTACAAAGCTAGGAGACAAATGTAGGACTCTGACCGCTCTCTCTTCCCTACCAGCCAAAGCTGGTTTTCATGCAATATGGTGATGCTGGTAGCATTAAGAATGTAGGCCTTACACAGCTGCAATAGCTAATGGCCTTGTAGCTGATGCACCCTCTATACCTGATGAAATTCAACCTTAAGGATGGAGTGTTTGACATAGCAGCAGCTCTGCTGATACTCTTACCTGTACTAGCTTTCCGTTCTGTGGAGGAAAACGTTTGTGTAGTTTCAATATTAAAATTAAATCTTCAATATCTCCTGAGGAAGAGAGATGTTAATACAAAGATTTGTCTTCAGTTATATAAAGATAACTGTAGAAATCCACACAGATCTTTCAATAGAATCATTCCCAAACCATTCCCATCTTGCCAAAGGAAGACTTTATAGCCTGATTGCAAGGAGAGGGCTTTTTGGTGGAAATGCTGACACAGCCTTAACTGTTTTGTATGACTCCAGTGGACGTCGGCTAAATTTCTAGTTACGACATGCATTTAATGGCATGTGATCAAACATGAAATGTAATAGGATATTTTAAGATACTGTGTTTGAAGAGAATCGGTATTTAAACTTAGTTTATGAACCATATCATTTAAATGCTCTTGGCATGTGCCATTCAGTCCTTGGTTACATAAGAAAAGTTCTGATCACGTTTTACAAAATGAACAGTAGAATGATTTTCTTCTACAACTTTAGTGCTGAAGCATTTCCAAGAGCCTTTACTAGAGTCTTGGTGGTAAATAAAGGTTTTCATTCATCACTCTGGTGCATTTGGAGGTGTATTCTGACTTTTCTTTTAAGATCTTTAAAGACAGTTTCTCTTCAGTTATTGGTGACTGCTTTGTGCCAGATGAATCTTTTTCCCTTTGCAATATTTTTTACACTTTCCTACACTTCAAGTTAAGCTGGTTGTATCATCCTCACACACACTCGTTACCTGTTATGCTTCTTTTCTGTACTAAGAAAGTATAAAAAATGGAAACTGATGTTCATTATTTGTGGAGGTTGACAGTGAAACTTGCTCTAATGCAGATGATGATTAGAACTCTCACTGCTTTTACTGCAAATGGGAATGAAGTGTTGAAAGCTGCTGGTTTGCTTGTTAATCAGTTGCAGCCTGGAACATAAGACCGTGTACTTCACCCATTGAAAAATCTCTCTTCCAATTGTTATTCACAGAATAATAATAAAAACTGAAGTTATGTCATTGCAGAAGGTTAAGAATTTCAGAGCTCTCCTGAATATGTTTATGTGATAGATTGAATCTGTGTTATATAAATTAGTAATAATCTGTATAAAGATTACTCTGATAACTTAAAATAAAATAAAATAAAATAAAATCATTGGAGAAGTGCCAGTCAGGCTAACCGGAGAGATTCTCTCACCCAGAATTCCACTCCCGCTGCAAGCCTGTCAAACCAGGAACTGAGGAAACGCACTTTGCTTTCAGAAATTGAAATAGCAGAATTGTAGTGCTGGTCCTGTGGTTTGCATTGGTTTGTCTTTGGCATAATTGTGTTTCTCCTGCTGAGAAGAATGGCCTAGGCTTTTATCTTGCCAATTTGGCCAATTTTTGAGAAGCGTTGATTTAATAAAGACTCCCAAGTGTATTTTTATCAGTGAATTTTTGCAAATCACTCTTATTCCACAAAGGAATGTGGAAATTATATGATTTTAATCCTTCAAAAAACAAGCAAAAAACTGTGATATATTCTAAGTATCTGATGACAGTGATTGAATTGACAGTCTTGACAACTGACAAAATTAAAATTCTATATTAACCCTATGATAAGCTCTGAATTATTTACCTGTGTCGTTTAATATTGTGCTTAAAAGTGCACTTTTTTTTATTTGTTTGACAGTGAAGTGATACAAAAGGAACTGTAATGCTCTAGACATGAAAGCAACAATTCTCATTATGTAGTAATTCTGCAGCAGCCTAACAGTTGTTTGACAATAAATAGAAAATATTCAGATGCACATTTCAAATGTTCTGTAATGAAAAAACTATCATACATGCCTTAAATGTACAAGCTGCACTACTTTATGCTTTTAAAATTTGTTACGAGCATTTTACAAGTTTCTCTAACTTTCCTGCTCTCCAGTTGGATGTGGTATCATCTGTCATCACTCAATCATATTTTTTTAGCTATTAAAAAGGCATGTAATTTTAATTTTTGTGGCCCATTAGTATTCAGATGCCATTGGCCTTGTTTAGCCTATATTCATCATCTACATTTAAGTTTGTCTGCTTTTCAGGAAACTGCTGACTGCATTGTAGAGCAACAGCATTCATAATCTAAAAATGAGGATACAAATTTAATTAAAAGCAAGTATTTTTTAAAACAAATCAGTTTCAGTCATGAGCATAAATGGGCACATTTTTCCGATGAAATATAGCGAACAAAATACTGAAGTCTGATAAAATATAATGTACAGCCTTCAGTTGAAAAAGGTGAAATCACAGTTTTATAATGTCAATGAAAATCAGGAAGAGAGAATCCCAAATTATTAGAAATACAGAATATGTTTAATCTTCACTGTTTTTTAATATGCTTTTTAAAAAAATTAGTAAGCTAATATGTTTAGATGCCTTTAAAAAATAAAACGGAAGAAATTAAATGGCAACAAAAAAACCCAAGGGTGGCCTAAGATGTCTGTCTTCTTTATGTAACCTTTTGCATTTTGTGTTTAAGTACTGACATTCCAGATGATTTTCTTTGGCTTTACGCCTGGACTGAACACTGAGGCAGCAAATTAGGAATGCTTAGAAGTCCCACAAAGAAAGATGTTTGCTGTGAAAGTGAAGCTAATGTGACACTTGCACTGGAAGCTTCTCAGCCTGCTCAAACAATAAATGATGGCATGGGACTAGGTGGTATGGGAGGAATGAATGAAGAATGAAGGAGAATGAAATGAGCAGAGCTGCTAGGTGTTTTTTGTAGCCAATCTGCTGATGCTCCCTTTTATTTCTATTCCAGGAGCTAATTTTGTTACTCGAAAAATTAGCCGATCAGTGGCAAAGATTCACCTCGGACAGATGGATTCTTTCAGCCTGGGCAATCTGGATGCTAAGAGAGACTGGGGCCATGCCAGGGACTACGTTGAGGTAAGCTGTGGGCCAGATGCCTTGTTCTGAATCATCTTTGTGGGGAGGATAACTCTTATTGCTGTAACTTCACTTCGTGAGCCACAGAGGACTTACAGGTTTTTTTTGCCTATGAAGACTTGCTAACTTTGTGTTGTTCTTGATTTCAGACTAGGGAGTTTAGTAGCATGTCTACCCCAGGCATGACCTGAACAGAAAAATAAATCTTTGGGTTTACATTCCTTTACTGAATTCCATGGGGGAAGGGACCAACAATAACCTGGTTCTATTTTGGAGCATTTCTTCTACTGTTTTCACAATTTGTATGACCAATATTAAGACTACAGCAATATGCAAACTGACCTGAAGTCACAGATTGGATGGATTGGTGGAGGGGGTTGGTGGCCTTTATTATATATAATGTGGGAAGAATGATGTTGATATTAATGATCAAAAGTGATATTAATGATCAAAATGATCTGGTTATACCTAAAAAAGAAGCATCGCAACATAGTTGTGATCTCAGTTCTGCCATGTATGCCTTCATCCAGCCTTTTAAGTGTTTTTGTAGTCAGGAGTTGTTTCTAATTTTATTCTGTGCATCTACTTAAGCAGACAAACAAACAATACCCCTGTATTGTATGACAAAGAGACATGAATGACCGTGTAGGAAATATTGTTTTTTTCCCCAGGAGGCTTTTGTCCCCATTTTGGTGCTTAAAGATTTCCTGTGGTCATTGGTCTATTTCTGTCTTTTAATAATGCCTTGCTGGGAAACCGGATCTGGCTTCACCATTCATTGATGTAGCTTAAAAAAAATGACAACAGTTTTGTTTTTCTGTTTTACAAAGTATGAAGTATTTCAGTAGGACAAAAAGAAAACCTGATCTGGGGTTTTATTGTAATTTGGGATTTGAAAGATAAAGTAAATGTTGAGCTCCCAAATCTTGTTTGCGGTCAAAAAAAACCACCAACAACAAAACAAGGAAATGAAATGATGATGCCACAATATACACTTTTGCTCTGGGTAATATAAAAAAAGTAAACACAAAGGGAGTTGTGCTAAGTAAGCTAAAAGGAGATTTTTGGCAGCTGGCTATGAAGTTGCCTTTTGATTCTGTGCTGCATTTATATGTAAGATGGTACATATCGTGCCACATGTACTAAGAGAATGACAAATATCCTCATTCTGCCTCCATGCAAATTGCTTTATATTTGTGACTTCAACATTAGTTGAAGTAGTAATCTAGTAAACCATCCCAATCATCTTTCTATTGATAAAGCTATAACAAAGCGTTCACAAAAACATTTACCAAGGCTCAGCTGAAAGGAAGAAACGGATGAGCGAAATAAAATGATTAGTTGCAATTAAGTCAATATGATTTACTAAATGCATAAGATATTCCATAAATAATTTGGCTGTCTCATTTAAAGGCAGCTTGCACCAAATCATAAACTGTGGGATGAATTCTGATGTCTTCTTTTATATGGGAAATTTGGAATAAGTCTCCTGTGCATACTGGGTCAGGCCCTTGTCCTGTTTCCAAAACTTCAAAAACAAAAAGAAAATGAGAGCAAGTCTATCCAGAAACATGGCTTTGGCCTCCAGAAGGAACGCAGTTGTCTGAGGTCTACAACACGAACACATGTTTGTTGTGTAAGTAGCATTCCAGACCTTTCAGTTAACATGTTTTGGGCCTGTCCCAAAATCTTTTGGAAGAATTCCTCACTAAAATATAGTTCATCTTGAGCATTTCTCTTCCCAGAGATGCCCCTTCGGATAATGGGAGAGCTATTATCAATTCTCTAATTCCCCAAATATCATGGAAATGTGATTACAGACAGCCTTCTAATGGCTAAAAGAGAGTAACTTTAAACTGGAAATAAACAATTATTTGAGGCTTTAATGGGCTGGAAAGTAGGGCTTAGAGATTTAACATTGTTCAAATAAATACATAGTATGTTAGCAAGCATAATCGTATTTACAAGCATTTGGGGAGCTTCCTTAAGCATATGGCTGAACACATAGGGATATATCTTATCCTCTCCATATGTACTTTTAAATCCCATTGATATTAATACAAGTAACATATGTGCATATAGACTAGACCATGTACAATCCTTCCTTTCTCATTATTTCCTTAGTAGAGATAATAATAAAACCATAAATACATTCCTTTTTGTTGTTTTATAAAACATTATGGGTCAATTCCTGATCCCATGAAAGTTGATGACCAAACTCTCATTGACGTTGTGGAGAGATTGTATCCTGTATGTACTGGAGAGGAGAAAGTCTGGTGGTTACAAAGCACCACCAGGAGTTGAGTCATAAACATTGGTTTATATTAGGAGGGAAGAGTTGGAATATGTGTTCGTTTAGGTTTATAAGCTGGGACTGCTATATTCAGCAACTGAGAGTGAGGTACAGTGGCACTGTGCTGCTGAATAAAAATAGGGAAGTGTAACTCACTCAGAAGAAAGGTTTTGATCGGTATTTGAAAAGAGGGAAATAGAACTGAGTAGACAGCGAACGTTTTGGAGTGGTTATTAGTTTTGTCCTAACGTTCTGTTAGTAAATGTTAACATTTCTGAAGATATTACTGCAGTCTCTTACTTCCTCTTTCTCCACTTCTACTTAACTGTGATCCAGCACGAGTCTCAAGGGATGGATCAGTGGATCAAGCACAGATGATCAATGCCACTGATTTGGAAGAGGAAAAACAATGTATCAGCACTTATGATCTATGAATCTTCTGAGTGCTATTTTGTTTTGTGAGAGTGATTCCTACCTTTTCTTTGTTGCAGAAAGTTCTAGTAAACCATCTGCTAGGTATTTTCAAATACTAGTATAACAACAGGCCTTAAGTCTGACTCATTTTTGTACCTTTGGTAACACACGAGGCATACGCTTTTCCTCAGACATTCTCCCAGGGGTCTTCTTTCAAATAGGTACAGATTCTTACAAGTGTTTAACTTGGATCATTTAAAAAAATGTACATTGATCTGTTGCTGGTTGTTTTTTGTTTTATTTCCTACATGCTAAATAGTCCTTAAGGTACGTATGCAACGGAAGCGCTGTTGCTGGAGAAGCTACAGACACATTTCTTTCTGAGGTTGTAAGGGGTTATCCAACAAATAGGACATAGTCTCATTGGAAGGTCGTTCTGGGGAAAGAGCACATTCATTTTCATTAGAATAAGGCTTTTCTTTCCCCTTCAGTCTCTTCCTTATCACTTACTAAGGTTGCCTTCTGCCATTGCGTTGCCCACAACTTTGTTGTCCAGAGAGCAGAAATATGATGAAGATAACTGCTTCCCTGGCGCAGTTTTAGTTGTGTCTGCTCCAAACAAATTATTAATATATTGAACCAATATATGCTCATTAATGTCAACGGTTTACGGGCTGGTTCGGCCCGGTTCCGTGACGAGCAGGGCGGAGGGATCCGCAGATCCACGCCTCAGGAAAAAAAGGAAACAGGGGACCCCAAAATAATTAAAGCAGCGGCACCGATCTGAGGAGAAACAAACTAATTTACTAAGTATATTATCGGAATGCAAGATAACACACTATAATACAATATAATCAGAATTGAAGCTAATAAATCAAATATAATGAGAGAGAGAGAATGTCCGAAAGGTGGATAGGCCTCACCACAACGCTGAGGTGAGATGCGCAGTCCAGTTGAGCAGCAGGGAGACAGGAGCAGCGCCCACGATGAAGGGCAGGCGAGAAAAAGAAATCAGGTGGCCTTGCCAAGAGTTAAACCTCCTCTCCCTGACCGCAAGGTCCCCTGGGGAATGTAGTTCTTCTTCTCTTCAGGGCAGGTACACAGGACTTGAGCACTGACAGTTAAAGTCCCAGTGCCCCACATGATGTTATGATGTGGAATACTAAAAGCCAAAAATCACAAAACCATGACAATTATTTTGGAACATCATCGATGTAGCGCTGATGAATGCTATAGAAAAGCCTATCAGTATGTATTTTACAGAAGTATTAAAAAAAAAAAAGTCGAAGGTAACAACTTTTATAGCCTTCAAGCATTGATCCAGATAAAAAATACTTCTTTTCAATAGAAATCGGGCAGTGTTTCAAGCAGTAATTGCAGAGGATTCATGGTTGGCCGCTGTTCAGTTAATTATAGGTCTACTCTAATGCTCTAAATTAAGTATAGTCTTAAATTCATTGTGAAATCAGGGAACACTTGATATTCTAAATATATGGCAATCAGCTTTCATTAATTTATATTAACTAACCTTTAAATTAATTTACATTAAGTAACTAATTGCAATTAATAGTAATCAATTAACATTAACTAACCTTTCCAACTTTTTTATAGTTTTTACTTGTACTTCTGTTTGTGATTAAAATGCACAAGAGAATGCACAGTCATTTTTACTTCTTGGGCCATTTTGTGCATGTTTAAATTGAGACTGTAAAATCTAGTCGTATGAACTGTGATGTCTTCTGTGTTCAAATCTCCAGTTGGCATCACCCAGTTGCTTTTTCACTGTTCTTTCATTCACTTCTAATAGGTAGAAGCTGGCCTTCGGCACAGCTGTTATCATTATCTGTTATGGGGAATCCCTTGTATGTTTGGTGCACTCAGAGATAAAAATTCATGCACAAAAGTAAAGTAAAATTTTCAGTGGTTCTTTCTGGCAAGGGGAAATGATTCATCAAAGTGGACTGCTGGCCAAGGTAATTTTAGTTCTGTTTTGTTGTTTTCTTGGCATGTTAAGGATGTGTCATTTTTTGAAATACATGTCACCTTAGACTGTTGAAACTGGCAGTCCTATTTAATATGCCCAGCAGAGTACTTGCAACAGTCTTGCTCTGTTTTGGGTTGTTGGTCTCATGAAAGGAAAGTCAGTTATGTCTGTGTTCATAACTACCCCATACCTCATGTGCTTGTGAGATTGGCTCATGAGTTGAAAGGCATGCTTTTTTTTTATTCAGATATTTTACCCTTTTGTTATGGACCAAAGGTAAAAATATTTTATTCTTCTTTCTACTTAGCT